AATTTAGTAACTTAATTACAATTGTTCTAGGCTTTTTATTATCGATAATACCAGTTCTGTGCGCTCTTTCTATGATTACATCTTTTACATTAAGGTTATTTTCAAGAAGGTTTATTATTTTTACTTCCGTATCATCCCAGTTTTCGTTTTCATTTTCTTTGACTTCTTCGATTCGAAGATTGTTTCTCCTTTGACGATCTTCTAGTTGCCTAAATCTATTTTTTTCATTCTCCCCTACGGTTGCAATCGACCATATTTTTTTTTCCACATCACTGACTTTTTATCATTTATCAATTTTATCACTGACTTTTTATCATGGCAATCCTGATAGAACGTTAGACTTTCTTTAATGTCTTTTTGTATTTTTTCATACTTTATCATCTGCTTGTTTGTTTTTTTAAGATCGGTATTTCGGTTTTCGTTTTCCTTTTTTAAAACTTCACAAGAATTCTTTAATGTATTAATTTCTTTTAGCAATCCATCAATTCGATCATTAGCCAGTTTTAAATTTGCACTTATTAACGCTAAAATATCTTTTTGTTGTTTTTGGAACATTTCTTGAAATATTTCACGAACTAATTTTATTGAGACTTCAGTGTTAAGTTTTGAACTCATTATTGATAAGATTTGAAAAATAAATAAACAAATAAATAAAACTTGCAATATCAATTCTATTATTTTGTTTCTTTCGTAGCAAAAGCACGTCCTAATATTGTTGAATTTTTTTTTCTTCTGAACTATATCAACCTGGTACTCAAAAGAAGCAGAATAATACGCTTATTTTAAATATAGTATTTGTTTTAATTCAAAATAAAAGAAAAAAAAACATTGTTGTTTTTTTTATAAAATAATCCCTGTCTTTATCAAAACGGGGGTTTCAAGGTATATTAATGCAAATATCTTTTTTACTACAAATTTTTTTTAAATAAAATTATTGTTGATAAAACAAGCATTTTTTTCTGCTTCTTTTGAGTAAAAGGTTGATACCGTTTAGAAAAAAAAATTCAAAAATATTAGGATCCGTCAAGGATTTAGAATCCAGAGAGGAACCTCGAGATCTCATCAAAATCCAAAAATATTTTTTTACTTTCATCTTATAATTATTAGACATCGATTCGTGTCTCAGGAATATTGATTTTTAAACTTTTTTTTTTTTTGCTATGAAAATCGATCCACCCTACCCAGTGGACATGGACGTAAAAAAGACGTCTTTTAAACGTCTTAAGCACGTTTTGGACGTCTTTTGAACGTTTTTTGAACGTTTTGGACGTCTTTTGAACGTTCAAAAGACGTCTTTTTTTGGTCCGGTGCCCACTGGGTAGTCTAGAAGTCACCGCTATATTGTAAAACAACGTTTTAAAATTATCCCGCGAGAACTGAACGGCTCACTGTGTACTGCTCTAACGAAGCGTAAAACACAAAAAATAAAGTTGATAAACAATAAAGTATACAAATTACGAACAAAAACTTTAATGAAATGCAATAAAAAAAAACGAAAAAAACTTTCTGTAGAACAGACTTTCATGTTTGTGGAACAACAAACTTTCATGTTTGTGGAACAACAAACTTTCATGTTTGTGGAACAACAAACTTTCATGTTTGTGGAACAACAAACTTTCATGTTTGTGGAACAACAAACTTTCATGTTTGTGGAACAACAAACTTTCATGTTTGTGGAACAACAAACGTTCATGTTTGTGGAACAACAAACTTTCATGCCTTTAAAAAAAAATAATGAGCAGTTTATTTTTTTTATTTCTATAAAATTATATCATTACAAATTTTATGGTTATAAAAAGTGACACAAACACGATATATATCAATATGCTAATATAAAGCAATTTAATACAATGCAGATATATATATTAATCAATAACATTAATAAATGCTTGTTTACACTGCATGTTTAAGTTTTTTTTATTATAAAAAAAAATACTTTTTCCCTAATAAAATATAAAGGGTAAAAAACTTAAAAAATTAAAAAGTACGTTCAGCTTTCCTGGATTAAACTTTTAATAGATTTATTAGTTAAATTATTAAACATTAGATACACCCATATTACTAAACATACATGTACTGTATACTCCCCTCTTATTAAATAACACATTAGATGCAACCATATTAGATGCAGATCCACACATTAAATACAACAATTTTATTAAAGTACATACAAAATACTAATAATATTATACAATAATTTATTAGTAATAAAATCAAAATAACCCATTTTGTGATATATAAATGTAGTAACTTTGTTTTTTATTTATTCTTTAAATTATATTCATTTTTATTTCCTTTTATTAATATATTCATATCATTAAATGCATAAGATGAACTTAGAAAATAAGATTTAAAATATAATAGAAAATATTTATCATATTATTGGATATTTGGTATTGTCAACTTTTTCCGAGAGTAGTCTATATCGATCCCCAACGGTCTGCTGCCGATCCCCAGTGGTCAGTGGTCCCCAGTTTTAATAACAGCCATTTTTTCTATAAATTAACCAGTTATGCATCACAAAAGAATACTATTTAAAGAAAATTTAATTTTTATCTGTAAAAACTATCATGCTTTTGATATAATTAACTTTTATTGAGTATATACGAAAGTCTGCATCTACATAAAAGTTTCTTTTAAATGACGACCTACTAATTAATTGGCAGATTTAGATGTTCCTTTTAATGAAGTTTCACGTCATTAATAAAAAAAAACCGTAAAACCTCACAGTGAAATTCTGTGCAGACATGAATACACTGACTGCTAAAGTTGCGTAATTATGCAATACAAATTTAAAATTATGCAGCATAAATTTAAAATTATGCAGTATAAATTTAAAAGGCACCATAAACTTATGTAGGTCATGAATATTTTAAATTTAAAATAACAAAGTTCAAAAATGTTTTTTAACTGCTGTGCATTGGGCCAGAATGTAACAAAAATTAGCAAAAATTGAAAATGTCAAAATATAATCATATTATACATCTAATCACATGTTTTTGGGGTCAGGGTATTCATTTATGACATCAAAACTAGGTTTTGATGTCATAAATGAATACCCTGTAAACCACTACTGTAAAACACGGGCTGTTTAGTGGAGCAATTTTGATATTTTGGTTTTGCAGATTTGACACTTTTAGACGTTATGCAAACTTAAGTATGTTTATGATTACGCCAAATAATAATCTTTTGCAAACAATTCCGGTGATTGGAGCCTGGGGACAAAAATACTGCAAAAAGTTACTAACCTCGTCCTCAAAAGTGAGGGCAATTAGTTACTGATTAAATTTTTGTTACAATTTTAATCTAAATTTAACTAAAGTAGTAGGTTTTAAATTTCATGGAATATTCTTTCAGAGAATAAAAGTGACTTTATAAAATTTGACCTTATAAAAAATGACCTTATAAAATTTACAACCCCTCACTTTGGCGAGAATTAAAAATTTATTTACTCATAACTTTCAAAATTTAGAATACTATTCCATGAAGTTTAAAACACGCAATTGTAGTCAAGTTTAGTATAATATAATTAACAAATTTATTCATTAACTCATTGCCCTCATTGTTGAGGTAAGAAGAGTAACTTTTTGGGGTATTTTTGTTTCCAGGCTCCAATCACCACAATTTTTTTGAAAGTATTATCATTTGACATTAGCATAAGTATACTTAAATTTGGAGTTTGCCCAACGTCTGAAAGTGTTAAATCTGTAACAACAAAAATATCCAATTTGCGCTATTGTAACTATATTGTTGTTAAGGATCAAATTACATTTAATTAGCATCCCATATAAAAAAATAAAAATGTTTTGATTTGTGAAATCATATAAACAAAACAAATTCAAACAAGTTACAAGTTTTCTACAAGTAGAAGTCTTGATGTCTGTATATAATTTTTAATACTCTAGACTTTAAAAAAATTTGAATAATTATTATACAGTTTTGCTCAAAAAGAGTGGGTCAGCAGTCTTTGAAACCTAAAACATAATACTTTTGAGGATGCATAATTTTATACGACTTTCAATCCATTTATGTTGAAGAAAACTGTAAATATATTGACATAATAAAGAAAACATCGGGAGGGAGGGGGTGTAGGGAGGGGGCAGGCAACCTTTTTATAAAGTGTTAGTTAAAGTAATAGAGTATGCATTTAAATGAATTTCATTATAACATATTATAACGGGTGGTAAATCTATTAGCGCAAAGTTTTCTTTTACATGAAAAATCGTCCTAATAATGTAAAAAAAACTGATAAAAAAAAGAGTTTTTTGTTTTTTTAAATAATTATAAAATTATAGATAAATATTTACTATTATTAAATTATTATTATTAAATGTCACAGATGTAATGCCAGTATTTACACGTTTTTCACACATATTTTAACAACTTTTTGACTTTGAAGCATTCTAAAGGGTTTACAAAATTGATCAAGTGCATCATAAAATAAACATTAATTGCCATTAACATATGCATGTTAATTGCAAATGATTAAAAAATTCAAATACGACTTTTCGTTTTGGCCTTTTTGCTAAACTCTGGCCCACTCTGAACTGCTTTAATGAAGCATAAAATACAAACGATAAAGTTGCTAAACAATAAAGTATACAAAATACGAACAACAAACTTTCATGTTTGTGGAACAACAAACTTTCATGTTTGTGGAACAGCAAACTTTCATGTTTGTGGAACAACAAACTTTCATGTTTGTGGAACAACAAACTTTCATGTTTGTGGAACAGCAAACTTTCATGTTTGTGGAACAACAAACTTTCATGTTTGTGGAACAACAAACTTTCATGTTTGTGGAACAACAAACTTTCATGTTTGTGGAACAACAAACTTTCATGTTTGTGGAACAACAAACTTTCATGTTTGTGGAACAACAAACTTTCATGTTAATGGAACAACAAACTTTCATGGCTTTGAAAAAAATAATGAGCAGTTTATTTTTTTTTTATTTCTATAAAATTATATCATTACAAAGCTAAAAATTTTATGGTTATAAAAAGTGACGCAAACACGATATATATCAATATGCTAATATAAAGCAACTTAATACAATGCAGATACATATATAATAATCAATAACATTGATAAATGCTTGTTTACACTACATGTTTTTGTTTTTTATTATTATTATAAAAAAACTATTTTTTCCCTAATAAAATATAGAGGGTAAAAAATTATCTTAAAAAATTAAAAAGTACGTACAGCTTTCCTGGATTAAACTTTTAAGAGATTTATAAGCTAAAGTTAAAACAATATTTTTTCTTGATAAAAATTTGTTCTCAAAATAGAAAAGATTCATTAGAGTACTCATACATAAAACATCAAAAATATGCTTACATCAGATACACCCTATTATTAAACATTCATGTACTGTATACTCCCCTCTTATTAAATAACACATTAGATGCAACCATATTAGATGCAGATCCACACATTAATTACAACCATTTTATTAAAGTACATACAAAACACCAATAATATTATACATTAGTAATTGTAACAAAATAACCCATTTTGTGATATATAAATGTAGTAACTTTATTTTTTACTTATTCTTTTAACTAGATTCATTTTTATTTCCGTTATTAAATATATTCATATTATTAAATACATTAGATGAATTTAGAAAATAATATATATATTAAAATAGAAAACATTTATCTTATTATTGGATATTTGGTATTGTCAGCTTTTTCCAAGAGTAGTCTATATCGATCCCCAACGGTCTACTACAATCTGCTAAGGTTCTATGACAACTTTAAAAAAATATTAACTAAACTAGGTTTATTCAATAAAAGAAAAGCAAGGGGTCTAGCCAAAATTAAAAACAATTAGTCCACAAGACAAAATGGCTCAAAACTATTAGGCTACATCATTACTAAACATCCAATACTATTACATATATAATAATTTTATTACATTATAGTCAAATATGTTAAAATAAAATTAAAAAATAAAATGAATTTAGAAAAATTTAAAAATAAGATATATATAGTATACAATGGAATTCATAAAAGAAAAAAAAAATGATACGAAAATGCTTAAGCATAATAATGTATAAAAGCATAATATAATAAGGTATGGCAAATATAATATTGAATAGTAATAGCGGTAATATTAAATAGTAAGGTGAATTAATTTTCGATAAAAATTAATATAAACTAAAAAGCATTAAAACATGCTTTAATAAAACTAAATAGGATAAAAAATAAATAATATAGTAAATATGACACAAATAAAATAAAAATAAATTTAAAAAAAAAATAGCAAACTTCTTCTAACCAAAGATTTTAAAGCATAAGATTCAAATCAAGTTCTAAACAAAAAAAACAAAAAACATATATATATATATATATATATATATATATATATATATATATATATATATATATATATATATATATATATATGTTATATATTCTAAACCCTTTATATATATATATATTCTAAACCCTTTCTGAGATTAGTTGCAGAGGAAAATATTTTGAAGGAATTTTATATGTATATTTATAAAAAGATTTATTGCATATACAATATATTGTAATAAATTACACACATACAGCCATCGAAATTAGGTTCGGCATTCGGCAATGCCGACCTAAAAGTGTTTGAGGTCAGCAGATCTAGTTTTTGCTTTACGATAACCCTTTTGTGTAAATTTTTTTTTTCATCTCTAACAGTTTGAGGTCAACCTCATTTTTCTTAATTTCGAAGATTGCACATACAAAATGACTTATAAAATTATAAATATTTCTAAAAAAATGTAATAATAGTAATGATTCTATAAAAGTATAATGGTCACAACACTAGTGTACCAAAAAAATATTTGAAATCCTAAAGTGTCATGGAAATAGCACCTTGTTAACATCAAGGAAATAATACCTTGTTGAATTGTTAAAACAATAAAATACAAGGACATTAAGACAGCTTTGATAAATATCATGCCTTTCTAGGTCAGGTTTTGAAAGTCACGACAAATCTCGCTCAGAAATGTTAGGATTTGCCCTTATTTTCGCCCAAACATTCATCTTCAGTTTTTTGTTAAGTTGTTGCCGCTTCCAGGCTTTCTATTTATTGTATTAAGTGTCAAATACTTATTTAAAGTTCTAATCGCAGTGCTATTAGAACGTCCAACAGTTTTTACAATCAATTTAAGAGGAAAATTAGGATTTTCCATTCGAGCGTGCAAAATTGCATCATGTACTTGTTGCCATTTTGAATAACAATAAAATTTTCTAAAAAAAAATATTTTAACTGAAATACTAATACATAGATAATTGTTTTTCTGTATGATAACATCCTGTATGATTTTTTTAGTTTCCTAATTATAAGAAACTATAAGAAATAAAAAAGTGTCAATTTTACTTAATCCAAACTTTAAAAAGTGGCTTCTTAATTAAGTTTTCAACTTCATTTACATAATCTCTTTTATCCATTAGAGCAGGCCACTTTAGATTCCTAATCTAAATCAAATTTAAATCTATGTTCCCCATAGATAAGGGTAATTTAAATCTATGTTCCCCATAGATAAAGGGTACAGACATGCATGGCATTTCTTGTGACTGGAGAAGGAAGGAATGGGGGAGGTAATCAAATGTCAAAAAATTCAGACAATATTTATTAATAAAAATATAGAAAACTTGTGATTTAACACTACTTGTACGACAGAAATTTTTTGCTTGAAAAACAACTTGACAGAACTCAGTTTTTTGCTTTTAAATAATAGTAATGAGCAATAAAAATATGATTATGTTTATATAATTGACTTTGTTGTACAAAATACAAAAGTTTTTTATTTTATTGAGTTCCAACTCTCAATTTTTCAATAGCTGATTATTTACAGAAAAAAATCTATCAATAATCTGCTATTTAATGTTTTTTGGTAGTTGAATAATTATTGGTAACTTGATATTCATTATTCACTTAACACTAGTGGATAAAGCAAAAATATTTCAGATATAAAGAGAAAAAAGGGAAAATTGGTAAAACGAAATTTTTTAATCTAATTTTGAAAAAAAAAGATACTTTAATGGAAAAAGTACATTGCAAATTCAAATAAATTTGATGAGAGTATTATTCGTAAATATTTTAAAAATTAATTTTTCTTTAGATCACCACGAATGTGTTTTTATTTAAATACTATTGAATACAATAATATTTAAATACTAATAATGTAGAATTGGTATTTAAATAATATTTATTTTAAATACTAATTCATACTATTGAATACAATACAATTATGATATAGAATATTATTTATATATTTTTAATTTTTTTTTAATGTTAATTCACCTCCTCAAGGCCGAGAAGGCCACTACAGATGAGGAGGCTACTTATTTGTGGTTATATAACCCTCTCTCAACTCTATAACTCCAAAATACAAACCTTGACAAACAAGGCCGCTGCACGGAGAAACGAGTAAAGTATATAAAATATACAATGTGGTGCAATGTTGCTTTTAAAATCTTTACAAATATGAATTCCAGCTTTGTTATTTAGATTTCTAGTAAGGTTTACAAATGTTTATACTTTCAAAATTATATAAAAATCTTTCATTTATGTATGTTTAATGTTTATACCAAATAAAATGCTCATAAGTTATCACTTTAATTTTCTTAAAAATACCTTCTCACTAAACTCAGTAAAGATAAACATAGGTTAATGAAACCCACCTACCAAAAGGGCCAAGCTTTGTGGATTTTTACAGTATTAGCATTTATTACTTTTATTTTCAAAATTTTCAGCCTTTAGGCATTTTAAATGAAAGGATTGCAGTTGCAATTTTTTCCTTCTCAGAAGAAGACAAATCTTTAACTAAATCTAAATCAAACACAAAATTTAAACAAATCTGAATTAATGGATACTTTTCTGTATTAATGGATACTTTTCGCCCAAAAAAGAGCTTTTAAAACATAAAAGATTATAAATACCACAGAAATAGACAAGAAATTCAATGATAAGCATAATTGCTTTTTTGAAAACAATATTTTGAAGAACAAAGCAAAGTTGAAAAATAAAAGCTGCAACTTCAGATACTTCAGTTTTTAACAGCATTAACAAGATACCAAGCATGCTGGACAGCATTTCTGAATTTAAACTTAAAAGGTAACAGATAACTCCCAATTAACTCATTTTATATTCGTGACTGTCTTCTTTTATAAATCTTTTTCTAACTATATTTTTCAGGTCGGCACAAGCGTGCCAACCTTAGCTGACGTCAGGTCGACAAAAAAAAAAAAAAAAATGGATTTTTTGTTTTCTGTTACGATAGGGGTTAATTGATTATAAAAGGATTGTTTTATAACAGTATAGCTTCAGGCAATAATATTTTAAAGAATGTAGCAATTAAATTTTGTGTAATAAATTAAGTATATAGCAAATTTATAAATTAGTGATTTTTTAGTTTTGAAGTTGCTTTTTTTTTACAAAAAAAAAATGATCATAGTTTATTACATTTTAATTGGTTTTTTTGATTGCTCATAAAAATTGATTGCTCATAAAAAGAATGTTGTTTAGAAATACAAATTTAGTTTATGTGCTGTAGGCGAAGATTTTGTTTAAAACAGCAAATTGTTTAACAAAATGAGTAGACAGTTTACATCCTGTTTAACCTCTACAAGAAAAAAGCATTTAATTCTCATGTAGTAGGGGTGGTGTTTTTTAATATTTAATTGTAGTATATTATGAACTTATAACTATATGTAAATTGATGGAGAGAAAACAAAAGTTAAAATTACAAAAATTAGTTTTTTTGTTTTTAATATATAAACATTGTTTCTGCGCAATGGCGATTATTGACGTATTTTGATAACTTACTCATTATCAAATTTTTCTGTCCAATCATCATTAAGTTATTATTTTTATAACTGATGTTCCCTGTACAAACGTTTCTGTTGCTAATTTTAAGCTTTTATTTTTATTATGACAATTTATTAAAAGCTCTGAATACTCGCGGCAAGTTTTACACCATATCAAAATTACTTCACTGAAATCAACAATTTGAAATCCACAGGATTTAAACCCCTACTTTTCAATGAAAGTTCTGTATTTCAATTTACATGCCGACACTTGAGGATATTCAGGTTGGCAGTTATATCCCGTCCTAAAGCAAAGATAGGTCAGCTTTTGCATCTGCATTGCCAAATGCCGACCTAAATTTCATCGACTGCTTACTATATATGCTTTGCAAAAAATGTTTCAGAGAATCTGCAGCAGCCAAAATTTTAGAGAAACTGCTGCAGCCAAATGCTTGACAAATCTGCAGCAGCTTTTTCCACTATACTCCAACTAGATCAGTTGGAGCATTACTAAAATCAGGACACTAAAATTTAGGAAGACATTTTCAACTTACCCAAGTTATTAAATAATTTTTACAATTAACTTAAATGCCATTAGTTACTATAAAACTTTTCTAATTTGGATTTCTTAAAGCAGAATTTCTCTAAATGCAGAGGGTGTTAAAAAACTTTTACAATTATAACAACAGAACAAGTTTTTTTCTTAACATAATCTTATGTTATTTAATCTTTTTCTGTTTATTAGGTTTACAGTTTTTATGATTTTCAAGTTAGTTATGATTTTGTAAAGTAGAATTTTTCTAAATGTAAGGGGGTTCTTAAAACACAATTTTACATCTTTTACAAACAAATAAATCAAGTTTCATCTTAATATAAGCTTTTAATGTTATTTAATCTTTTTCTGCTTTATTGTTAGGAGCTATAAAAAACGTTTACTTAAACTTTAAAGCAATTAAAGCTAATTTTTATAGTTTTTACATTTTAAAAATTCTGTAGTTTGGATTCTTTAAAGTATAGTCTTCTCTAAATGTAGGTGTTCTTAAAAGCTTTTACAATGATTACAACAGAACATTTAGTTTTATCTTATAAAGTATATAATATCTTATAAAGTAGATAATATTTTAAAATATTATCTACTTTATAATATATAATGTCTTATCAAGTTATTATATTATATTATCTTATTAAGTTATTTAATATTTTTCTGTTTATTAGAAGGATTACAATTTTTTACGTTTTTTAAACTAGTAATGATTCTGCAAGGTAGAATTTTTCTAAACATATGGTGTTCCTAAAATATACATCTTTTAGAAAATGAATAAAACAAGTTTCATCTTAAAACAATCTTTTAATTTTATTTAATCTTTTTTGTTTGCTTTATTGTTAGGAACTATAAAAAAACGTTTTGGTGTTGACTTAGTTACTTTTTTTTTTCTTAATTTCTTTAAATTCAATAAAAAATTAATTTTTTATTGATTTGAAAAAAAGATCATTATTGATTTTTTACTTTTGTTTTTTATTATTGATTTGAAACAATGACTTTGAAACATTGAAGGTAATGAAAGTTTTTTTTATCTATATTTAAGTTACAGTTAATAATGCATCAAATTTTTCCAGTTAGATAGCAATTTTAAAACTTGATTTTTAATGATAAATCAAGTAAGTTGGATTTTAGTTGCATTTTGTTATAGAATTTGTAATTTGTATATCTTTATTCGTTTAAATTCAATTTTATATATATATACAAATTGTATTTTAATTAAACTCATTTTATTTAAGTATATTATATAATTGAAATAAATGCCAATACTGAAAAAATCCACAAAGCTAAATAATATTGAAATAGAAATTTTGATCCTTAGATCCAATGCACTCAAATGAAAATATATTTTATTGCCATGTTTTACAAGTGGTGTTACTTGACAAATAAAACTAGGTTTAAATGCTAACCAGCCAGGTAGTGTTACTATATAGTGATATTACTTAGCAGTATTTAGTGCCTAGTAATGTAACTATTAAAATGCCAGTTTTTTATTATATCAAAATATTTTTATATCATATAAAAATGTGTTATAAATAGTTCACATAATAGATTTTTATATTTCTTTTTTTTCAGTTTTGGAAACCTGTGCTTGGTTTACTTTCTTAGATAATAATTTAAAATAAAACTTCATATCTGATGTTAATTTAAATGTTATACAGTCTTTTTATATTGTTAACTAAAAGCCAAGATAATAATAGCGGAGATAAAACAAATATCATAAGTTTGTATTGTATCATATATGTTAGGTAACATGTTCAGTAAATTGCTAATGATTTTTTACTTTTTTAACCCATATTACAGGTTGCTAGTATTACTGCTAGTTTATTAGACTGCTTTATTTAAGTTAGTATTCATTTTTTTTTATGACTTTTTATAAACTTATTTATTTTCATAACAATATATTTTTTTTAATTCTACACTTGAATTTTTAGATTCAGCAACACTGATAGATGATAAATGCAAGCTCAAAAGCTTTGACAAATTCATTTTCAATTAAGAAATTTTAATTAATAATTCACTGTTGGTTTTTCACTGTTCAATTCACTGTCAGTCCTTTTTAGGCTATCTATGTCTGGTCAGTCCAACATTTCCTAGTTAAAATTAATTCTCATTAACTTTAAAAACAAAATAGCTTTATCTCCCTTTTCGGTGATTATTTCTATTCAAAAAACCAGCAAAAACAAAATTATAAAAAGAAAACAGAAAACAAATTTTTAAAAACCCAAGAAGTTCATCAATAGAATTCTTTTAAAAGATAACATAAGAAAAATGAACCTAAACAACAACTTAATTTAAGATTAAAAAATTTAATTGAGAGTAGAAAAGTAAAAATAAACTTTATTTGAACATTAGATTAAAGATAACTTTAACAAAAATCACACCAGTGTTCTTCATTACATTTTGTTCCTGAGATAATAATTTAGCCATTGGTTACCCTGAGATAATATTTAAAGTTTTTCAGTTTTGAATTAATACAGATTTAAAGTTTTCAGTTTTGAATTAATACAGACATAACATACCTGAAGCATCATTGCCTTGTACATTAATATCAGGTATTCGTTTCCTAATCTTTATTTTGTATAACTTTTCTGCTTCTTTTGCAAGAAGTTGTTGTCTCCTAATTTTAAGACGCAGTGATGTAGGTTTGTCTGGTATAAACCATGCTAAAAGACGCGATGTACCTGATATTACAAACTGAAATATAAAAACAAATGTAAGACGAACTGTCCATACTTCCCAATGAGTTTTATTAAAATCGTAATGTGATTTGGAATCATGAAAACCAGCAAATCTAAATATTCATATAGTAAATATAAAATATACTGTAACATAATATAACATAGCTCAATAAAACAATTAATAATAAATATAACAAACAAAACTAATTTTTTAATTCAAATTTTATATAATTTCATAACACAGCAATTGAACCAAACTTGAATCATAAAAAATGAAAATGAATATCAATTTAAATTGTTTAAGAGACAATAGCATAATGTGTATTATAAAAACTAAAATAACATCTTGTTTGGTAACAGATTATTTATTTTTTATGATTATAACTGTGATAAACTTAAACTGATAAACACCCAAACAACTATTTGGATTCAATTCGGATGTATTATTGCAATAATGTCAAGTAAAAAGTTACCAAAGCAGAAAATATTTTTCAAAACCACTTTTTAACTCTTTTTAAAGTAAAGGCTTAGTTTCAGTATTCACAGCAGTAAAATATTATTTTTAGGGTCAATTCATTGATTATCTATTTTTATTTATTATAGTTAATAATTTTTGGCTATATCTGAAAACTGTTTATGTGTGCTATTATAAGTAATAATAAACACATTACCAAGAAACTCGATTTCATTTGGAATATTCTTTTCTTATTTGCTATAATTGCTAAACAAAAGAAGAATGTGGTTTTAATAAAATAATAGTGATTGCTGGTTTACGATGTATTGAAAATTTGTAACTTTTAAGAAAATGGTTGAAGAAGAAGATTGGTGTAAATATGTCTAATAAACTTAATTGATGTTGAGAATTTTGATATTCAATAATATACTGAATGTATTTTGTGAATTTAAACCAGCTAAAAATGAGTTTGAAAGTTTTATTTCATATCTGTCACTAGCTTAGATCAATCTTATTGTAATGTTTTACAAATGACTTTTTTAATTTACTCTTGCTTTTATTTTATTTACCCTAAAAACATATTTACTTAAAAAAAATTAGTTAATGAAAAAGTTTCTATTTTTCTAAAATAATAATTTTTTTTAAAGGTCCTTTATCTAGCACCGTATATATATATATATATATATATATATATATATATATATATATATATATATATATATATATATATATATATATATATATATATATATATATATATATATATATATATATATATATATATATATATATATATATATATATATATATATATATATATATATATATATATATATATATATATATATATATATATATATATATATATATATATATATATATATATATATATATATATATATATATATATATATATATATATATATATATATATATATATATATATATATATATATATATATATATTTATATATATATATATATATATATTCATTGCCAAAAAGGCTGCAAGCAACCACTATTAAGTTGGGAATTACTAGAAAAAAAAAGAAAAGTTATAGTATAAAGTTATATTTAAATAAAGCTTAAATAGTTGTAGGTTGTATGAGTCAGGAAAACGTGGAGAAAGAAGAGCGAGTTAAAATACTGGGAAAGAAATTAGATGAATAAAAGATTTTAGAGCTTGCAGGGACAGATACAGTAAACACATGAGAGTTAGATAGTTGGAACCACTCAGATAGAGTGAATAAAGATAAAAGAGAAGCTAACTTAGCGGATGCTTAGTTAGCAATTGATGATATATATGGTTTCCATGAAAAGTCAATAGTAAACAATATTACAAGCAGACATAAAGAGGACCCAGTGAAAGGGTTGCCATATATTAATATAGGAATGTCGACAGTATTGTGACAGTTGTTTGCAGTAAATAACTGAGGTTTGTTGGAGTTAAAAATTTACAAGCTACTGTGAGCCCCAATCTGTTACAGAAGTGAGATCAAGATCGGCTGCCTGTTCTAAGCGGTCAAAAATAGAAGACCTTTTGCCAAGACAGCAGTATAAAGATGAGTTATCAGCAAAAAGAGCTACTTTAGATATAAGGTTGTCTGAAAGATCATTAATCTAGATAAGAAACAAAACAGGACCAAGGATAAAACCTTGAGGTATCCTAGAAGTTACTGGAAATCAAGAATAGTATTGGCCTTCAAGGATGACTTTAATAAAGCGGTTAGAGAGAAAGGACTTGATAATCTCAAAAATTTTTCCAGATAAACCATATGAAGCAAGCTTATGGAGAAGACCAGCATGCCAAACTTTGTCAAAAGCTTTATAAACATATATATATATATATATATATATATATATATATATATATATATATATATATATATATATATATATATATATATATATATATATATATATATATATATATTATATATATATATATATATATATATATATATATATATCCTTATCTCTTAGTTGAAAGATACTTTTAATGTAAAAAAAGTCTCTTTTAAGAACAGTTTTGCTACCTCAACTATTAAGCCACATTTTATTGTTGTGGAAAAGTTAAAACAAATAAATTTATGCAGAAGTACATTAAGTTTTATTATTTTTTTAAAAACTGCAATAAAAATGAATAGAAAGCTTGTTTTTATTAATAGTGATTTTGTTTTTATTTTTTAAAATTATTTTTTAGAACATGCGCGGAGTGTTGCTACATCAACTATCTTATAGCCTGCTGCTTCAAGGAAGTGTTGCTACATCAACTATCTTATAGCCTGACTCGCAACAGAATGCTGCTACATTGACTATCTGCATCAAACGCCCCATACTTTCAAAATTTGATCTGTCCCTATTTTAAAAACCATCTGTTGGTTCTCACAAGATACTCTGTTAAATTTTTTAAAAAATTGAATGAGATTTAAGGGGGCCACATTAAGTCTGAAACTTGCAACGAGACCCTAAACAGAAGAAAAAAAAGTTTTTCAAATGTATGTCATGTTGGGTCTCAAAAGAAGCGAAACTAAAAATTTCAAAAATAGTTATGATTTTTTGTTAAAAATACCTTGAAAAAAAATTTCGACCAAAAACCATGAAAAAATGGCTTTTTTTAATTTTTTGCTAAAAAAATAATTTTTATGCAATAAAACTTATAATAATAAATACTATGTAAAATTTTTTTTGTTTTTGAAATTTTTTTCATAAAATTTCGATTCTTTTGAGACCCAACATGACATACATTTGAAAAACTTTTTTTCTTTTATTTAAGGTCTCAAGTTTCAGATTCGAGGTGGCCCCCCTAAATCTTATTCAGTTTTGAAAAAATTTAACAGAGTGTCTTGTGAGTAGAAAGTTTTAAGAATAGGGACAGATCAATTTATGAAAGTATGGGGCATTTGATGCACCCTAACACATATAAGTAAAGAATGCCAAAGTAACAATGCAGTCATAGCTCCCTAGTCTACCACTAATTATTATCGCATAAAATTTTCAATAAAAAAAAAAAAAGATACTTATATAAATAATATGATACTTATATTGAAAAAAGTATTGAATGTCCAAAGACAATTATACATATTTATAGATACACACACATATCAATGGTTGTCGAAAAGAGTATTGAATGTCTGAGGACAATTATACATAAGTTAGTAAAGTTAAATCATCTAAAAGTCTTATGTTTTGCAGACATCTTTCCATTGTTTCTTTTAACTGACTTTTAAAGTAATCATAGGGCATAAAGTTATTGTTAAATAATGTCTTTTTGACTTCGCCTTTAGGAAAGAATAGTTTGTTTTCTCCCAATTCAATACGATTACTTTTGATTTTGCAATATACTCACTTGATTCCGACTGGATAGATACTAAACAACAGTTTTATACTGAACAATACTTTTATGCAAAACAGACCCCAACTAATCATTACCACATGTAAAACCAAACTTCTTAATTGTGCATATTTTCATTTTATTTGTTTTAATTTTTAAAACTTAAGTATAATTAACAATGCTTGTTAGTAACATTAAAGGGCATTTAATAAGCAAGCTACATACTATAATAGTCAGTGTTTATATTTGTAATATATTATGTTTATATTTTGTTATATTTGTATATTTGTATAGCGTGTTGGAAACATTAAAAAAAAATTGTTATATGGTATATAACACAGTATATTTTAGGTAAAATCTAAAGTGGGTTTTCTTTGTGTTCTTTAATTATCCTATTTTTCTAGGTAGAATAAGTTTATTTACACAGACCTGTTCTCATGAAGAAAACAAGAGAAAAGTATGTTTATACTGCGCCAAAAAAACAAATAAACCTAACAGCATTAATTTACGATAGATGAAGTATTTAGTGAATTTTAAACACAAAATTAAAAATTTAAGCTACCATAAAGCTATTTGGAAACCTTGCAAAAGCAGTAAAAGAAGAAGAAAAGAGCCTTCTTCTTCCTTCTTCTTCTATACATGTAAACTGGAATAAAATGAAAATGCCATTTCAAACTAGAAGTGTTATTTTGTTAGAAATTAAATCTACTCAAGAAAGATCTAAAAAATTTAAGAAAGGAATGTAAATGTAATGCACAGCCTCCAGTTAATAGTCTAACTTGTCAAACTTGCTTTTCAATTATTAACAAAGGAACTACCCACAGCATAGTTCTTTAGCTGTACTTTTATTACAGCAAATAACTATGCTGCAACAAAAGACAAATTAAAGCAGCAGAGCATTAAATTTTTTAGATCTTTCTTGAGTAGATTTAATTTCTAACAAAATAAAACATATTGACCAGCAATATGATGATTGTTTTGTTGAGGAAAAAAGTTTGTTTAAAAACTCCGACTCCGACTCCAGTTGTTGAAATTTTTTGAGCATAACTCCGACTCCAACTCCGACTCCTACTCTATCTTCTAAGCAAAATATTTGAAAACTTCTTTGAATTCTTTAAAAAAAATGACGCGATAAGTTAAAAATTTCTTTTTTGACAAATTTATAAAACGTTCTTTGAGGTTTAGTATGAAAATAAGGTTAATTTAATGTTTTGTACATGCATATGTAATACTGAGAAACAATTTTGTTTAGCGACTCTGACTTTTCTAAAAATGTTGCAACTCCGCGACTCCGACTCCACAGACCTGGTTTTTTTTGACAAATAATAGATAAAAAAAGAGCCTATCTTCAAAACCAGTCTATAAAAATTTCCATTAATGAAGGATGGTGATTTATTAACATATTATAATTTTATAATATGCCACTTTAGTTTCTAATTTAAAATTTAACAAGTGCAATTTATTATAAATTATTTAAATTATCAAATCCAAGTAAAACAATTAAAAACAAAAGGAGAAAATATGGAGAAATTAAATCAACAAATTACAAGGATCTGTGAAAGCATCGTTTATTATAGCACTGGTACCATATGTAGCAAAAAGACAAATCACAATGTTAAAATTCTGCTTAACAAACTTTGTTAGGATAAAATAAACTTTACTTATGTAACAGATATCAAACTCTGTCAGGTCATGTGTGGTATGTCCCGGAGTTCCATGGCAACTTATCCATGTTATATTTGTACATGGAATAGATCAGAGTGATTGCACTGAGCTATGAACACTTGGATCACTAAAATTAAGCAGTAAGTATAAATCAAGCAGTTTAAAGAAAATTAGAGCAAAAGAATATTTCAACTGTATTGATTTTAATTGGAGATGACAATGACTTAATTGTTAATCATCTTTCTCGTCCAGAACTTTATTTGATGGAAGGGGCAACAAACCATATCTTTAAAACAATAAACAAATTAGCTGATCCAGTACTATTAAAAGATTTTAAATGATTTTAATATTTCAAAATCAATAAGAAATGGGTCATACAATGGTAATGGTTGCTGAAAATATTTAAAAATTGTGTGAAGTACTATAACTTGTTATTAAAACCATTAAAACCATTGGCTGAAGCATTGAGGCTCTGAATAACCTTGTTCACTCTTGTTTCGGTGTAAATCTAAGGGCAACATTTGAAAAAGACATCATCTTATTTAAGAATCATTTTAACTTGTTGGAAGATAACGAAATGACAGTTACCGTGAAGTTACACATATTTCTACATGTATGTCCTTTTTGTAAAGATAAGGACATTAGATTGGGTTTCTATAGTGAACAAGCAGGGGAAGCTGTTTACTACTCATTTCTAAAGGAAGTATGAGAACATTTTAAAGTGTCTGATAACCATCAAAAGTTTCAATGGAAAACATTTATTTAATGTTTAATAAATATTTTCTGAAAATAATGCTATTTTTTCCTTTTAATTTTTAGAAGACAAAAGTGTTCGAAATTGGCGCCCCTCAGATTGTTTTTAAGACCCATCTGAAGGGGACATATAATGCAAGTCATATTTTCTGACAAAATGTATAACAATTGCTTGCAATTGTTTACATGGCTGTGCATAAGATTATGTCTAAAAATAGAGCTTGAACAACAAAGCATATCAAAAAATTTCACAAGTGTCCTCATATAGTACTATATGAAAATGTCTAGATAAATAAATCATGTAATTAGAAAAAAAGTGCAGATAAAAAATAAATCATGAATAAATAAGTTACGAATCATCAGATAAAGATGGTCTGGGAAACTCAGTAAATAATAATTCAAAATTTTTAAATTTTCCTTGAAATTAAGTTCAGTATAGGGCTTTTGTTTATAAGGGCCTACTAGGGATACCTTTTTGACAAATATAACAAACAAACAATTAAGACTAAATTATTACTTAATATACAAATATTCAAATAAATAAATAATCTCAATTGATTGGATATTTCTTCGAGTATTTGAAGTTTGGCATGGTATTATATATTAATATACTTATATTAACAAAATTAAAATGGTCACTTTCTTATAGGATATTCTTATCCTATAAGGAAGTTACCACTTTCATTTTGTTAACGTAAATATATTAGTATATAAATATACTTTTAAATATAATGAGTGCATCACAATTGTTAGGAAGTACAACATGACAAATAAACATTCCCATACAGTATGGCTCGATAGATAACTAACTTGTAGCTAATTTCATTTTTTATCAAAACAAAAGTTAAATTGGTAATTAAACATGTAATTGTGCTTTTAATAATCATATACAAAAAATATACTAAAATAAAGAAAAACTATTCCAAAATTTATACAAAAAAACCCCTAAAAAATTGCTTAAAAAAAAAACAGAAAAACACCCCAAAAAATGCCAAAAACAACAACAAAGAAAAATGTTTTTGATCCAAAAAAAGCCAAATGAAAAAACATATTTTTTTGCAACTCTAATATTGGGCAATAAATTATAACTTTCTACAATATCACCCGAAAACATTACTTAAAATAAACTTTTTCTCTCTCTCTATTTTCAGTGTTGAGAAAACAACAATAAAAGCAACAATGAAAAACAAGAAACTTTTTCTGTAGCGACTCACTTGGGTTAATTATGCAAAGTTAATTATGTAAAATTATGCAAAGATAAACATTTACAAATAAGCTTCAGTTTTGTATATCATTTTTAATAAATTATTTAAATACAAAAAGTTTTAATACTCAATACCTCATTTACTTCAATATTCATTATTTTGAAAATACTAATAATACTTTATTTACTGATATATTCAAAATAAAAACTTACCTGCAAATTGGATGTAATGGAGTTTGTAGGGGTTTTTCATAATCTTTAAAATTGGTGACATTATAATAAGACAAACTCCAATTCAAATATCCATTTAAGCTGTGATCACTACTATATTTATATTTGTAGACAATTCGAGGAATGAACTCAGATGTTAACGCAATAACACAGCCATTCACCATAACAGAGAACTTAAAAAAAAAAATTAAAAAATCAAATTCATTTATTAATTGATAATAATATCCAAAAACTTTAAAAAAACTTGAGGAAACTATGAGCAAATAAAAAAAATATATATACCGCTGTTACTGTAACAAGTATGTTGTACCATACACCAATACCTTTATCTAACATGGCTATTGGCCTACGAAACTGTGTTATCAATTTTTTTGCATCTATACGAATCTCTATTAAATTAGTAACAAGGGCAATTAATGGTGCCAAAGGAAAAGCAGCAATAAACATAGTCACAAAACCATACTGAAGAACTAATTTATGAAAAAAAATTAAATTACAATCTTACATTATTTCATTTTGCCGTAATAAATATTGTTAAAAATTGTAGGTGTGAATTAAAATCTAAAAATATTTAGAATAAAACTAAATAAAAATAAAATTAAAAATAAAATAAATATTAACAATTCTAAAGTAAATAAAAATAAAATAAGCAGAAACAATTCAACACCAATTGTAAAATAAAAATCATCATTTAAAAAAATATAGATTTTATATTTATAATATTTATTTTATATTAATTTTATAATTAAGTAAAACATTTAATATTTGGTAATTCCATGTCAATTAACCCAGAAATTTTTAAAATTGTCACCCTATATCTCAGATTTTGATGATTTTTATACAGTTTGAGAGTACTTATTAAAATAAGAATTCCTTGAAAATTTTAGCTTCTGGCTCCAAGAAGATCCTGAAATATGACCATTTTACTTTAGGCAGATACTGTCCATGCCCTTCTTGTTCCTTTACTTAAAAACTTGTACAAGGCCATTTTCAGGGGTGGCGAATCCAATAAAATGTTTAAAAGTGTAAAAATTTAATTTAAAGTACCTGTATTTATCAATTTAAATAAATTTAGGCAAATTTTAATAACTATGTGATTAACTAACTAAATGATTTCGGTGCTCAAGAAACTCATGTGGCCTAGATGATATCAAAAAAATATATATTACACATCATTCTATATTCAGTGAAGAACCCAGACATGTTTTAGTATGGTTTGACCGGTGTATGGGCGCCCAAAAAATATTCTTATTTTTTAATTTTTCTTTTGCTTTTTTATGAAAAATAGAAAAAAAGTTTTTAATGCAAGTAGTATATAAATAATTTTCAGTTTATTTTAGCTACCTCATTTTTTCTTCAGGACTATAAAATGAATTAAAAAGAAGATGTAAAAGCGTTTTTACATAACTACGTAATGTAATTGGCCTTCGGTTACTGTCATAACTATCGCTAATTAACTATTAAAAATTGCCTAAATTTATTTAAATTGATAAATACAGGCACTTAAATTTCTAATCATTTCATTGGATTCCTCATCCCCAAAAATAGCCAGTTACAAGTTTTTAAGTAAAAAAACCAAAAATATGTGACTTGAAATCTCGTTATGTGACTTGAAATCTCTAAATTAATGTTGTATTTTTGAGGGTAAAAAAGGGGCCTGGCTGATATTTGCTAAAAGTAAAACGGTCATACTTCACGATCTTATTGGAGCAAGAGGCTAAAAATTTTAAAGAATTCTTATTTTAATAAGTACTCTAAACTGTATAAAATCATCAAAATCTGAGATGCATGGTGACATGACCTGGTGACATGACCATGGTGACATGACCTGGGTCATTTGACATAAAATTACCTTATTACAGGTTTTTCTTGAGTGTTTTCAAAATAATCTTGGTTTTTCAGGTTTATGATAAATGTTGTATTATAATGAATATTAAAAAAATTAATCATACTTTTAAATAGCAAAATTTTAAGGTAATATAAATATATAGCAAAATAATAATAATAAAATATAAAAGACAATAATAATAATAATAACAATAATAACAATAAAAGTAACAATAATAACAATAATAACAATGATAATAATAAAAAGTGTTGATACTCTTTCTGTAGAAGTTACATTTTTGAAACATGACTAACATGTATTCACTTTATTATTAAATATATTACAAACTTAAGCCAAAAATTGTAATAAAATTCTAAAGTGTAGCAGTTTGTACTGAACCAATTTATAATTAAAATATTTTTTTTTATTTCTTGTTAGTTTCAAATAAAACCTCACTCTTTTCTCCAGCTGAAATTTTTAGTAATAATCTATTTTATCATTTTTCTACAAGAATAACTCTCTGGAATAAACATCTTTATATTACCACAAGCAACAGATACAAAAAGGTATTTACTGAAAGCCCATTATTTTTAGATTAATAACTCTTGTATTATATCTAAAAACAAGATTCTAATGGCTTTTAAAAATTCTTAAACTGCGTTATTAATGATGGCAAGCTCTTTATGGGTCTGATCCTGGAACCTATCCAAGACAGAACTGTCTTGTTTAATTATCTTTTTATTATTTTTGTTTTATTACCTGATTTATTAAGGGAATAATGCAGCTGATTGTACACCGACTGATTTAAAAAGGTAGAACTTACAGAGAGTATATATATATTGATTGACTTAATTATGCAGCACTAGAGAGTCTATATACTCAGAGAAGTGACATACGTGTAATATTGTTTTTGATTTGAGAATTTTGACACCATGTTTTTGCCAAAAAAAACTAACTGCAAGTGAACTTGCAACTAAAACTTTGTTAAATATTTGTGAAAGTTTATGAAAACTAATGTGAATGTAATAAAAATTCATGAAAAAGAATGTGCTTTAATTCTTTATGAAATGTCAATAACTGTCAGGTCAGGTTATCCTGCTGTCAGGTCATGTTATCATGGTTATCATGGCGATCATATTATCATGGTTGTTTCATGTATCATCATGTTATCATGTTTATCATGGTTGTCAGGTTAAGTTATCTTGCTATTGGTAACATGCAACCCAGTACAATCTGCTTCATGTCCTGCTGCCTTGTAGGATACGCCTTTTTAGGCAAAGGCTAGGAGATGCCAACTCCGACATAAAACACACCTTGCCTTGGGGATTTTGATTGAGTAAAAACTAGAGTTGGTGTCTCGATAAAAATACTCATTTTGGGCAAATGTTAAATGCATCCAGCTGCTGTCTTGTAGAAGGCCTCCTAGGCAAAGACTTAAGGGGTAAACAGTTTCTATCTGTTGACCAGCCTTGCACCCCTTATTCATCTATTAGGCTGGCGCATATGTATTTTTATTACATAGTTTCCAGTTTAGGATGTTGAATGCTGGATCTTCTTGACTTGATGCATGGCTTTTGCTTGTGTCTCTGTTTTTATGACTAGTCAACTCATTCTATTATCTCCTAATGAGGGTACACCTCTAAAACTCAGTTTTATGGTTCCGAGGCCGGCTGGTAGTCAAGTTTCATGAACTCTGTGGTAGCTCTCAGAGAGGCTGATTCCATTAACAGCTGAAAAATATCAAAGTACTAACAGTGCCATGTTGCGCATGGATGGTGTCCCTCTTTGTACTTTTGGTGTGCATTTCCAAAGCCACAATGTAGCTCTTTGTTACGGCTTAGGGTTTATCAATAGTAATGAGGCAATTTCTTGGGCTATTAAACAGTGTAATAAGTACAATCTACGTTTCGAATCAAGTTTAACTGCATTTAAAATGAATAAAGTAACAAAAACTATAAAACACAAAAAACCATTGTCATCACCAAGTTCGCTAAACCTATCATTCACTAATATTCTGCAATAATACTAACATCAAAAAGACTGCACTCTTTTTGATGTTATTTCTGATCATATTGACCAAGCCCTCTCTCTTTATCCATCAACAAATATTGTTGTTGCCGGCGACTTTAATGTTCATCACACTGAATGGCTTGGTTGTAGTGTCAATGACTCTGCAGGCATTAAACTGCACAACTTTTGCCTATCTCAATCCCTAACTCAAATAGTCAACTTTCCAACTCGCTTTCCAGACAAACTCGACACATTTACCTTCTTTACTCGACTTATGTCTTGTTTCTGATCCTAGTCAGTGCTCAGTTTCTCCACATTCACCCTTAGGTGCCTCTGATAACAGTTTGATCTCTCTAAAACTATTATCTCATTCTTCTTTATCATCAATTCTCTATACCAAAATCCTCCTATCATCGAATATCTTACAGAGCCGACTACTACTCTTTCCGTGATTTTCTTTGTGATGGCCCTTGAGTAGAAATCTTACATTTTCCTGTTGACAAATGTGCTTCTTACATAATTTCGTGGATTCAAGCTGGCATGGAATCCTTTATTCCCTCTTGACAATTCCAGGTCAAGCCTCACTCTTCTTCATGGTTTTCCTCACATTGTGCTGCTGCAATTGCCAATCGAAACCATTAATTCCATATCTATCATCAAAACATTTCTCCAGAAAACAGAGGCCTATTTATTACTGCTAGGAACCATTGTATAAAGATTTTGTCTAATGGCAAAGCCCGCTACTCTCAGGTCATGAAACCTTGTATTTCATCACAAAAATTAGAATCTTGTGACTTCTGGGGAATCTTTAATAGTATCAATAATCAGGGCAAGTCTGTAATTTCACCTCTTTTGTATGGTTCAGACTTTGTCACCTTACTTAAAGACAAAGCTGAATTATTTGCAAAGAACTTTTTATCAATATCATCTCTTGATTCCACTAGTTGCGCTCTACCTGATAAAGCTGTCAAACTGGTTGATCCATTGCTTGACATACGTATCACTACAGCTTCTGTATCTAAAGTGATTTCCTGCTTAGACTCTTCTACAGCTTGTGGCCTGAACAACATACCTGTAATAGTCTTGGAAAAATATTCTTGGGAGCTGTCGTCTATCCTTTCAAAACTATTCAACAAGTGCTTATCAGAGTCTGTTATCCCTATTTTTAAAAATATTGGAGAGCGATCTAATTCGTCTAACTATCGTCCCATTAGTCTTCTTCCTATCCTATATAAGCAAGATTTTTAAATCTTTAATTAACAAACACTTAATCTCTCATCTTAAATTCAATAACTTTCTGATAATCAATATGGATTTGGATCTTTTCGTTCTACGGCTGATTTGCTAAATGTAATAAGTTATGGAAATTTGATATGCTAAAAGTAAAATTATGGAAATATCTTTAAGATTATTAAATCCTTCCTATCCAATCGTAGTATAAAAGTTGTCCTTGATGGACAACACTCTTCTATTTATTCTGTAACCTCAGGGGTTCCTCAAGGTTCAATTCTTGACCTTATACTCTTTTTAATTAATACAAACATTCTTCCAGATATTCTAACATCTAAGGTGGCATTGGTCGCTAATGATCCTACCATTTATTCTTGTCATGATAAGAAGCCAACTCTTTCTGATTGCTTGGACATTCGATAAAACTAAATTTTTTTCAACCAATGGTTATCGCAATATATTAGATCTTTTTTTTTTTTTTTTTTTTAATTATTCACCTCCCTAAGGCCCGAGGGGGCCACTACAGTCGAGGAGGCTACTCATTTTTTTTTTAAATTAAAAATTTTTTTTTTTTTTTTTTTTTAAATTGTGGTACAACCCTCTCTCAACTCTTTAACTCCGAAACACGAACCTTGACAAGCAAGGCCGCTGCGCGGAGAAATTAAGTTGAGCGCAGTACTTCCAGGGACATGGTGGGAGTCGAACTCCGAACCTCTCGTTTACAAAGTGAGTGCTCTCACCACTACACCACTACCCAGGGGTCAAAATAAGTGCTGGACATTGCCGCCCCTCAGACCATTTTTGAGACCTGCTAGATGAGGGCAACCAACCATTGTTCATTTTTACTGCAAAAATGAACAATGGTTTGTTGCCCTCATCTAGCAGGTTTCAAAAATGGTCTGAGGGGCGGCGATGTCCGGGACTTATTTTGACCCCTGCCACTACCGCATAACATCTACCTGACCCTCGGAATTAGGAAAAATGAGGTCGGCAATTTTCGACCTTAATCTTTTTGAGGTCGGCATCAGGTTAACAAAAATTATTTGATACAAAGGTCTAACCATAAAACATATAAACGAGGTTGGCAATATTTTGCCATTGGCAAAATATTGCCAATTTTGCAATGCCATTTTGGCATTGCCGACCTAATTCCAAGGATTGTCTACGCTTTATCTTTTAGGATTAACTAAATTTAAATCAAAAACTTAATTCTTTTTTAAAGATAAATCTTAAAAAATGATGCAGAAAAGTTTTTGTCCACAAATATTTCCTTTTTTATTTTTCTTTATTTTTATTCAAAATGTAACCTATAATAAACATTGATACTTTACTAAAGAAAAACTTTAAAAAAAAAAAAAATCTTAATGAAAGAGAAAATAAAAACTAAATTAAAACTCAAAAAAAACTAAATTAAAACTCAAAAACAAAACAGAAAAATATAACTCAACTAAAATAAAATTTAAAAAACTAAAATGCTGAAATTATATAAATCAAGTAAATAATTACGCTTGGAATAATAAACTTTGTAACTTCTATCTTTAGTAATGCTTTTCTAATATTATGGGAATATATATATATATATATATATATATATATATATATATATATATATATATATATATATATATATATATATATATATATATATATATATATTGCAGCAGACAAAACAAGTACAACTTTTTTGATTTGTTTCATTTTCTTAAGTCTGGTCCGTATCAACGTCACAGAAGTTTTTAAATAATTAAAGGAAGTATCCAGAAGTTTCCAGAAGCATGAAGAAGCTTCCAAAAGTTGCCAGAAGAAGCATGTAGAAGCATCCAGAAGCATCCAGAAGTATCCAGAAACATTCAGATGCATCCAGAAGCTTCCAGAAGCATCAAAAAAAAGCATCTAGAATCTTCTAGATCAGGTTCACACAGGTTCATTTTACTATACTAGGTTGGTTGAAAAGTTCGCGGAGCGGAAATGAAAAAACAATTTTATGATTCAAAAAATGACTTTATTCTTCAGTATATTCTCCCTTAAGAGCAATACACTTTTTCCAACGATTCTCCAATTCATGTATCCCATCTCTGAAGTGCGATTCCGGAAGGCCTTCAAAATACCCATTTACGGCTGCAATGACTTCTTCATGTGATGAGAAACGCTTTCCACGTAGAAATTTTTTGAGATGTGGAAAGAGATGGAAGTCGGACGGAGCCAGATCTGGTGAATAGGGTGGATGTTCCAAGCGTTCGTACTTTAATTCGACCAATTTCGCCTTTGCAACATCGCTGATATGAGCAGGTGCGTTGTCCTGGTGATAAATGATTTTTTTATGCAGCAAACCAGGTCTTTTCTCGCAAATTTTTTTATCCAACTGGTCCAAAAGATTTTTATAATATTCACCTGTTATCGTTTTACCGGTTTGAAGGTAATCTATTAATAAAATTCCTTTCGCATCCCAAAAAACTGATGCCATAACCTTCTTTGACGATTTTGACGCCTTTACTTGCTTCAGAGCTGAACAACCGGGTTCTGTCCACTCTGCAGTTTGTTGTCGCAGCTTCGGATCATAGTGGTAAACCCAAGTCTCATCCATGGTTACGAATCGACACACAAAATCTGTTTTATTCTTTTGAAAACGGGCCAAATGTTCTTGAGAAAGTTTTACTCAAGTGCGTTTCTGATCCAGAGTTAGCCAATGTGGCACCCATCTTGCCAACAGCTTTCTCAGACGTAATTCATCGTGCAAGATGTGTAATACCCGTTCATCTGAGATGCCCACAGCCTCAGCAATTTCACGTTTGGTCAATCGTCTATCATCCATAACCATGTCATGCACAGCATTAATCGTTTCTTCAGTAGTAGCACTTTTTGGACGTCCAGAGCGAGGGTCATCTTCAAGGCTTGAACGCCCACGTTGAAACTCCGCAGCCCATTTGCATACTGTTGTTTTTGAAGGAGCATCATCACCCAACACATTTACCATTTCATTATGAATTTCCATGGGCTTTAAACCTTTTTTCACAAAGAATTTTATTACAGCACGATGTTCAATATTTTCCATTTAAAAAAATACTATGACACGTCTAATTTCAATAGCTTGTAAACAAAGACTGAAATGACATATCGACTTGAAATTTTTTATGCGTTCATACGAAGAATGAATACGTTTAATACAGTTATAAATTTGTTTCTACTACTGCAATATAGGTGCCGCTCCGCGAACTTTTCAACCAACCTAGTATAAGAGACATGTAAACTGACATGTAATTCAGTCAGTATATGGAAGTCCATCAGTCAGTATTATCAAGACAGTTTATTGAAGTGAGTTTTATCAAAGTGTTTTATCAAAGAACATCAATACAAGAAGTGAAATACAACTTGTGTTTCTTTACATCAATACAGTCCACATTCAACCAAGATGTTATGTTCCACAGAGCATTATTCTATCATCACAAGGTAAATGTAACACAGTAAGCCTTAAGAAGCGTGATTATTTTTATTATTTTTATGACTTTAAGTTCAAAATGGCTCCGGTCAGTCTTGGATTTGAAATAAGAAAGAAAATTATTTGCGATTACTTAAGTGGAATGTCACAAAAAAGTATTTGTGATAAATATCTCGTGAAAATATGGACTGTATCAAGACTATGTCATTAAGTAATTATTATTTCGTTGACAAGGTTCTACTTTGAGCTTTTTATATTAGGAGAATTTAGAAAAAAATCTAGTTCATTAAAAAATTTAAAAAGTTCAATACTTTTAAAATTGTTTTGTTATGTAATTCTAACTGGAAATAATAGAAGTAAAAAATCCTCAATAACAAACGCAAGGTAACGTAAGTGATGTAATCTAAGTTAGATATATAGTATCAAAAAAACCAGTATATTTTATTTACCCGGTCACCTCTGATAAATTTTATATATTTTTTAATTTGGCATAGAATTCTTAACATCTTGTGAAAGTTTCTAATACAAACCTCTTTACTGATTCACAGAAATCTGACCTTAAAGTTGAAGCATTTTTTTTACCTAGTCTACTATAGCATATTTATATGCGCAATTGCTCACTTTTTTTGCTAGCCTAAGATAAGTAAGCGTTTTTAGAAAACAATGAGGGAAAACGAAGAATAACAAATGAATAGATTGCTGACCCATACCAAACCTCAGTCGATGTAGCAGCACTCCACTGTGAGTCATGCTATTTGTCAGTCGATGTATGTACTGAAGCCCCCGGCAGCAGGCTATTTGAGGTTAGGTGTGTATGACATCATCATACTCACCTAACTCAGCAGTATAAGATATTTATATATATATATAATACTATTAAGTATTATACTATTAAGTATTATACTATTAAAAAATCATGTTTAAATTAGTAAAGCATAACACTAATTACCTCATTTACTATGTAATCCAGGAGTTCAATATATATATATATATATATATATATATATATATATATATATATATATATATATATATATATATATATATATATATATATATATATATATATATATATATATATATATATATATATATATATATATATATATATATATATATATATATATTGTACTTCTTAATAAGATTTGTTAATCCTTTATTAAAAAAACATTAGCAATGATTTGTTACTTTGTATAAAAGCATTTTAATAATATTAAAAACTTGGTAAAACCTGAAGTTATTTAATTTTAATGACTTTCAAAACCAATTGTCTTTTTTTTTTCAAATAATTTTTTTATTATTTTGAGTGTATTAACTTTAACCAGTGTCATAACTAAGCTCCCCGACACTTCCCAATTCAAGGAGCTTAGGAAATTTAGAGGGCCCATATTGAAATTTTAGGAATTTTTATATATAACAAAAAAAACAAACAAACATTTATTATAAAAAATGCCTAATAATATAATTTTAAAAAATTATACAACAGTTTTGATACATTTAACAAAACTCATTAGTAAAATGTTACAAATTATTGCAAATTTTTAAAATTTTAGTAGCGGTGGTCAAATGGTCAAAACAAAATATTAGGTGTGTGGTCATAAAATAAGGTGTGAACATCTTTCTAACCAAACCTGAAGTACTATAATTTTACCAATATGTTATATTTTAATACAAAATGAGATAAAACTGACTATAATAATACCCAGGATATATACTTTGAGTAACCTTTTAAACTTTGTAAATATAATAAAACATAACAAATCAAAACCTTTCAAAATTAACTCACCAACTTCTTCATATTCTCCATATAAAAAAAGTTCATTATGCTTTTCAATTCGATTGAGTTGATAATCATTTTCATAAATAGGTACATTCTTGTCTGTAATCAAATGTTTCCAACTATTGTATTTCTTTTTCAGAAAACTGTTGTGAAAAAAAAAAAATCAAAAATTTCAACTAGTTATTAAATAAATTAATTTTCTAATATTTTAACTAATTGATGAAAAAGTAATAAAATAATGAAGTTTTTAACAGTTTTGTTAGAACTTATAGAAAAATAATATTTTTTAATAAAATGTCTATTGAACAGAGCTAAAGAACTTCAAATAATGAAATTGCTATCAGTTAAGCAACTATCGGAATAAGGGTCGGCATTTGGCAATGAGGACCTAACTGCCGACCTTCCCTGTTTTGTCAGCAAAAAATTCAGCAAAAAATTCAGCAAAAAATTGACCATGTTTCTATGTTTTTTGGTAAACCCTTTTGTATTAATTTTTTTTGCTGACCTAATACTAAAATATTTCTAATAATGAACTCTAACAGTTTGAGATAAAGTAGGTGTAACGAAAAATAAAAAAATCTTATAAAAAAAGTTTTTAAGTAAATGTCTATTCAAATAGTTTGAACAGAAGATTCAAGTAATAGGCACTATTAGCAACAAATTTGAATGACAGCAGTGGTGTAAAAGAACTTTAATACATAATAATAAATAAAAGTCAAATTAAAGATATTTTTAAGAAATATTAAAGTTGAGAAATTATTTTTCTATACTATAAAAAAAATCTGACATCATGAAATAACTATAAATAAAATGTTTAATTTATATGTTTTTACTTACAACTTTAAAACCATGATTTTTAGCAAAATATAAACATTTAGAATAAAACAGATGCAATATTTTTTTGTATATAATTTATTAATTTCTTATTGAATTAAAAAAAAAAAAGTTATTTTATATAGCCCAATAAGTTATATTGCATGTTCAAACTAGCAGTCTGGCGTCACAATAAAACAGCCAGTTTCTGGAGGCTTAGTATTTAAACCGTGTGTTTAAATAGGGATCAGATGTGATTTAGTGTTACATCAAGTTACAGGAGTGCTGCTACATTGACTTAAAATTTGTGTTGAGGCAGCAATACATACACACAAGGGTAAACATTCTGACTTTTGGATGGCCGCCAGAAGGGTGACTGAAAGTAACCAGTTTGCTGATGTTGGTCGCCTGCCGACATTTTGAGTTGATTGTCACCACTTTTCATAAAATGTTTTATTATTTAAGTGGAATTCTTGCATGGTTCAAAATTTTTTACTTATATAGTAAGGGATACTAAAAATAATTTGAAGAAACAAAAGTAATATTTAAAAAAAAAAAAAAAAAAAAAAATTATGAAAAAAAAAATAAATAAATAAATAAATTAGTATTTTAGTTTAAACAATTAAATGTTAAAAATTAAAGAAAGTTTAAACACTTGTACAAATTTTTATGTTCTAATTAATAATAAAAAATGCAGAAAATTAAACTTTCAAAATATTGCACCATTATTATTTCAGATAGTTAAACAGTAATTGTCAAAAAAGATTTATCTCAATAAAGTGATTGTCTTAACAAAAAAAATTTAAGAAAGAATTTAACTTAATTTATATTAGAGCATAAATATTGCTTTTTATAAAACTTTAAAATTAATAAAAATGAAACTGAAACTGCAGAAAAAATTAATAGTTGCCTCTTATTAAACTTAGTTGCCTGAAACTGTTAGGCGACCAAGTGTACACCTCATATGTTTTTTTTTTTTTTTTTTAATTATCTTCACTTAGAAGTTACTGGAAGAGAAAAGATGAAGATTGTAGAGCAAGATAACGATTGACAGATGAATTAAAAGATTGCAAATTATATGAATCAGGAAAGCAAGATGAAGTAAGCGAATTCCAAAGAACTGATGTTCGAGGAAAAAAACTAAATGAATAAATGTTTTTGGAGCACTTAGAACAGTTACAGAAAAAGGATGAGACTTAATTAAATGACGAGTATCACGAGAATGAATTTTAGTAGATAGCACAAGAGACGCAAGCTCTTTCGAGCAGTGCCCATTATAGTATTTGTAGAAAAGAGAAAGAGAAGCAACATTACGACGATGTGACAGAGGTTGAAGGTTGGCTGCAAGAGCAGGTCCAACTATGTTTACAATGCGTTTTTGCACCTTGTCTAAAAGAGAAAGGGCACCATTAGAAGATCTGCCCCAGATATGGCAACAGTATTCCATACAAAGCCGGATTTGAGATTTATAGAGATAGAGAATAGAATCCAGAGTAAGAAAGTGACAAGCTCGATAAAGAGAAGCAACTTTAGCAGATGTTAATTTTGCAATGGATTTGATATAAGGTTTCCAAGAAAGATCAGAAGTAAGAGTTAATCCTAGAAGATGAAGGGTAGGAGACTCATCAAGTACATTACTGTTCATAAATATAGGAAGGTCTAAATTATTGCGATAACAATTGGGCAAAAAAATTAAGTTTTATCTGAATCAAAGTTCACCAGCCACTGTGAGCCCCATGCTGTAGCAGAAGTGAGATCCTTTTCAAGCTCAGATGCCCCCTGTAAGCAATCAGAGGGAGTTGGCTTTTTATTGTGACAAGAATAAATGGTAGTATCATCAGCGAACAATGCCACTTTAGATGTGAGAATATCTGGAAGATCGTTAATGTAAATTAAAAAGAGTATAGGGCCAAGGATTGTACCTTTGGGAACCCCTGAGGTTACAGAATAAGAAGAAGAGCGCTGTCCATTAAGGACAACTTTTATACTACGATTGGAAAGAAAGGATTCCATAATCTTAAAGATGTTTCCAGATACACCGTAAGAAGAAAGCTTATGGAGGAGAACAGCATGCCAAACTTTATCCAACGCTTTAGTTAGATGAATCAGATCACTCTCCAGAATTTTGAAAAATAGGGATAACAGATGCTGCTTTCCAGCAGGCTGGAAAACAAGACTCTGATAAGCACTTGTTAAATAGTTTTGAAAGGATAGACGACAGCTCCGGAGAACACTTCTGCAAGACTATAACAGGTATGTTGTCCGGGCTGCAAGCTGTAGAAGAGTCTAAGCGGGAAATCACTTTAGATACAGAAGCTGGAGTGATAGGAATGTCGAGCAATGGATCAACCTGTTTGGCGGCTATGTCAGGTAAAACGCAACTAATGGCATCAAGAGATGATATTGATGAAAAGTTCTTGGCAAACAATTCAGCTTTGTCTTTAGGTGAGGTGACAAAGTCTGAACCATACAAAAGAGGTGGAATTACAGAGTTGCCCTTAATATTGATACTATTAAAAATTCTCCAGAAGTCACGAGAGCCTAATGTTTGTGATGAAATACGAGATTTCATGATCTGAAAATAGCTGGCTTTGGCATTAGACAAAACCTTTTTACAATGGTTCCTAGCAGTAATAAACAGACGTCTGTTTTCTGGAGTTTTGCTGATAGATTAGCATGTTTGGCATGCTGGTCTTCTCCATAAGCTTTCTTCTTATGGTGTAGCTGGTAACGTCTTTAAGATTATTGAGTCCTTTCTTTCCAATCGTAGTATAAAAGTTGTCCTCAATGGACAACACTCTTCTTCATATCCTGTAACTTCAGGGGTTCCTCAAGGTTCAGTCCTTGGCCCTATACTCTTTTTAATTTACATTAACGATCTTCCAGATATTCTTACATCTAAGGTGGCATTATTCGCTGACAACACTACCATTTACTCTTGTCATGATAAGAAGCCTACACTCTCTGATTGCTTGAAGGGGGTATCTGAGCTTGAAAAGGATCTCACTTCTGCTACAGCATGGGGCTCACAGTGGCTGGTGAACTTTAATTCAGATAAAACTCAATTTTATTCAGCCAATCGTTATCGTAATAATTTAGATCTTCCTATATTTATGAATGGTAATGTACTAGATGAGTCATCTACCATTCATCTTCTAGGATTAACTCTTACTTCTGATCTTTCTTTTAAACCGCATATCAAATCCATTACAAAATTAGCATCTGCTAAGGTTGCATCTCTTTATCGAGCTCGACACTTTCTTACTCCAGATTCTATTCTCTATCTTTATAAATCTCAAATCCGTCCCTGTATGGAATACTGTTGCCACATCTGGGGCGGATCTTCTAATGATGCTCTTTCTCTTTTAGACAAGGTGCAAAAACGAATTGTAAACATAGTTGGACCTGCTCTGGCAGCCAATCTCCAACCTTTGTCACATCGTCGTAATGTTGCTTCTCTTTCTCTTTTCTACAAATACTATAATGGGCACTGCTCTAAAGAGCTAGCGTCCCTTGTGCCATCTACTAAAATTCATTCTCGTGTTACTCGCCATTCAATTAAGTCTCATCCTTTTTTTGTGACTGTTCCTAAGTGCTTCAAAAACTCTTATTATTCTAGTTTTTTTCCTCGAACATCAGTTCTTTGGAATTCGCTTACTTCATCTTGCTTTCCTGATTCATATAATTTGCAATCTTTTAAGTCATCAGTCAATCGTTATCTTGCTCTACAGATTTAGTCTTTTCTCTTCCAGTAACTTCCAACTCTTATAGTGGTTGCAGCCTTGTTGGGAGTGAATATAATAAAAAAAAAAAAAAAAAAAAAAAAAAGATATGGAAGTAATTGTTTTGCTGATAGATATGGAAGTAATGGTTTCGATTGGCAATTGCAGCAGCACAATGTGAGGAAAACCATGAAGAAGAGTGAGGCTTGACCTGGAATCCTCGGAAGGGAATAAAGGATTCCATGCCAGCCTGAATCCACGAAGTTATGTAGGAAGCACATTTGTCAACAGGAAGACGAAAGATTTTTACCCAGGGGCAATCACGAAGAAAATCACGGAAAAAGTCCTAGTCAGCTTTAAGGTAGTTGTAAGATGTACAATGATAAGGGGGATTCTGATGGTAAAGAAGAATGAGATAATAATATTAGAGAGACCAAATCATGATCAGAAGCACCTAAAGGTGAGTGTGAAGAAACTGAGCACTGACAAGGATCAGAAACAAGACATAAGTCGAGTAGAGAAGGTAAATGATTCGGGTTGTCTGGAAAGCGAGTTGGAAAGTTGACTATTTGAGTTAGGGATTGAGAAAGACAAAAATTGTGGGCCTTAATGCCTTCAGAGTCACTGACACAACAGCCAAGCCATTCAGTGTGATGAACATTAAAGTCACCGAAAACAACATTATTGGCTGATGGATAAAAAGAGAGAGCTTGGTCAATATGATCAGAAATAACATCTAGAAGAGTGCAGTCTTGAGATGAAGGAGAGCGATATAAAACAAAGAGAAAGGTGATAGAGTGAAGTGGTGCTAAACTAAAGCACATAAAAGAGTAGTCTGTGGATTCAAACCTAGTTTCCCAACAAATGGGTGAATTCTTACAAATGTAAATGCCCAGGCCAAGCATGTGACTATTGGAGTCTTTACGAATTAAAGGAAGATAACCATCAACACTAAGATCACAAGATGAGGCAGCTGAACTCAAATTAGTCTCACAAAGAGCAAGTAGGTCTGGTGAACTTTGCAAGAGAAAAGACTTAACATAAGAAAAGTTACTTCAAAGACCACAAATATTGGTGAATGATAGGTTTAGCGAACTTGGTGATGACTGTGGTTTTTTGTGTTTTATAGTTTTTGTTACTTTATTCATTTTTAAATTTATTAAAGAACTTGACTCAAAACATAGTACTCAGTACACTGTTTTATAGCTCAAGCAATAGCTTTATTTCCACTAATAAACCCTAAGCCGTAACAAAGGGCTCCAATGTGGCCTTGGCAATGCACACTAAAAGTACAAACAGGGACACCATCCATGCGCAACATGGCACTGTAAGTACTTTGATATTTTTGAGCTGTTGATGGAATCAGCCTCTCTGAGAGCTACCACAGAGTTCGGGAAACCTGACTACTAACCGGCCTCAGAACCATAAAACTGAGTTTTAGAGCTGTACCCTCATTTGGAGATAATAGAATGAGTTGCCCAGTCATAAAAACAGAGACACAAGCAAAACCCATGAATCGAGTCGAGAAGATCCAGTGTTCAACATTCTAAACTGGAAACAATGTATGAAAAATACATCTGCGCCAGCCTAATAAATGAAGAAGGGGTGCCAGGCTGGTCAACAGATAGAATCTGTTTACCCCTTAAGTCTTCCCCTAGGAGGCCTTCTACAAGACAGCAGCTGGATGCATTTAACATCTGCCCAAGATGAGTATTTTTATCAAGACACCATCTCTAGCCTTTACTCAACCAAGAGCCCCAAGGCAAGGAGTGTTTTATGTCAGAGTTTGCATCTCCTAGCCTTTGCCTAAAAAGGCGTATCCTACAAGGCAGCAGGACATGAAGCAGATTGTACTGGGTTACACATTACCAATAGCAGGATAAACCTGACCTGACATATATATATATATATATATATATATATATATATATATATATATATATATATATATATATATATATATATATATATATATATATATATATATATAATAAAAATTTTAAAGACTTTAAGACGATGAAGAAATTAAAGGAAGTCCAATTAATTAAAGACCGATAAAGAAATGGATTTGATAAACCATCTAAAATAAACTTGAAAAAAACATAAAATTTTATAAATTTAAAAATTTTAATACAAATAAAAATATATAAACTTAAAAATATACTTAATAAACAAATTTTTAATATAAATGATATAAATAAATCAACTTACACAACAGAATAAAAACACGTTTAAAATTAAAATTGATGTGTAAAGATGTGCATGTTAATTTTTTTCATTTATAAAGCAATTTTTTAGAATGAATTATTTAAACTAAAAAATATTGATGTAAATAAAGAAAAAGTATATAAATGATCAGTGTGGAATAGATAAGTATAGGAATGGTCAGTTTGGTATAGAATTTGGTAATGGATTTCAGTAAAGTATTTTGGTAAATGGATTTGATAAGTAATCTAAGATAAACATAAAATATTATCAATATAAAAATACAAATAAAATTATATAAAATTAAAAAATTTTTATTTTATATAATTTTGTTTTATATTAAAAATTTTAAACAAATTTCTATTATTAAATGATACAGATAAATCAAATAACATAATCAAATAAAAACACATATTTAAAAATATTTTTTTAATATGTGTTTTTCAAAATCATAATCAAATAAAAACACATACAATTAAAAATATTTTTTGCAAAATTTGTAACTTACGGCAATACAAACTCAGGTATGTTTCCTATCAATTGCTGACCTGCCATTAGTACAACTAACTGGATAGATAGTTCCAAAAAGCAGCCTTGTGCTGAGCATCCCTCTAAACTAATATTTCTATTTATAAAATATCTACGATCTCCTGGCCATCCAACAAAATATGCATTTTTAAAAAAAGCAATATAAAATACAGAAGAATATGCATTGCAAAACTGAAACCAAAACATTTTAAATGTGAATGATTTTTCAAAGTCACTTTTTGTTCTGGGATTTTCCCATTCGGTTAACTTTTTTGCAATCCATTTGTATAAAATTCGTAGTATATTAATAATTATCAAACTAATAACACTAGCTGAACATGCTACTAACAACTTAGAGTTTGAGTGAGCTTTAAGTATAAAAACAGCTCCACGATAAACAATAACTCCCATTGTTGCTGCAATAACTAAACACATAAACAGCAAAACAACTGATAACTCACCACACACTTTTAAAAAGTATTCTTTTGTAGAAATAAATGGTTCAGTGTCTTTAGTAACAGGGTTAACACGTTTTTGGACAGCTGCTTCACAATACTCAGGCCTCAAAGTCTCCACTTCATAAAAATTCTTTGAGTGCCATTTGTATGATAAAGTGTGCTGGCGCCTTTTCCAGTATTCCAGATAGAGCACTGACCATAGAGACATAAATACAGACAACATAGGGGTAGCACTATTATCAAAAACGTGAGCCATTCGAGCATATAAACAAGTTTCATTTAAATAAAAAAAATTACAGTCCCTATCACATAATGGACACATGTAAAATTGAAATTTTTTGCTTTGAGAACAAATTTCTTTGGTTGGCTCAAACCACATTAAAGAAAGTCCTCCATATAAACAACATAAGATTCCCAAAAATGAAACAGGGATCAAAAAAAGTGTATAAAAACCTAACCAATCAAAATAAAAAGCAATTTTAACACCAAAGTAGTCTTTGATTGCATCAATAGGTTGATACTTAAAAATCTGTTTAAACGAACCCCATTCTTCATAAAGTTTTTGTTTTGTACTTACTGGCTTCAAGTTACTTCCTTTCAAAATGACTCCATCATGGACAGGATAACAATCAGTAAAAACATTATTATGCATAAGGTAACTTAAACCACATTTTATTCTAAAATCTGAACACCATGATGTTGTTTGAAGTATATGATAAGTAATCAGTGAGCGATAAGCTTGTGAAAATAATTTGTTTTTATGATTACCGTTGTAAAACTCACATAACCGTGATTTGTCAAACACATCAGCAAAGTAAAATTTTGTTTTATCAAAGTAGGAATTTCTTATTGTAAAAGGATCATATCTATCCCAGCATGCCCGAAGTTTCTTTAAAGCTTTGCTATACCTAAAAATAAAAGTTTAAAAATATTCTAGTATACCAAAAAAAAAAAAAAAAAAAAATCAAATATATATTTAATTCTTTTTTTCCTTTAAATGAAAAAATTATCTGATCTTTTTCAAACTATTAAAAAATTTATTCTTTTAAAATATCAATATCAATGAGATATGATAATATAAAAATAGTATCGTACATTTTTAAAATATAATTAAAACAAGATAAAAGCAAACAATATTTTTATTATATAACATTAGCAAGTTGTAATTTGAACAAAACAATTAGTAATTGCAATGTTTATTTAGAGGTTTCAAGTTAGATAACTTAAAATATTTAATCTTTTTACTTAAAAATTTGTACATGGCTATTTTCAGGGATGGCCAATCCAATAAAATGATCAAAATTGTAAAAAATAATTTTTAAGTACTTGTATTCATCAGTTTAAATCAATTAAGGCATTTTTTATATAACTGATTTTGATTCTCAAGAAACCTATGTGGCCTTAATGATATAAAAAAAAATCTTACACATTCTATATTCATTGATCTTTCAAAAAATATAAAGATTTTGATCTGCAAGTATATGGATTTCCATATATGGATAACGGGGCATGATCCCCAATTATTTTTAGCAGAGTACTGCAATTGATTTTTCACTACCTTACAGGCTAGCTGGAACTCTGTAACTTTCTGTAGCACTGATGAACGTGCGTGTTAAAGTTCTTTTCAGGGTCCAAGACACCAGACAGGGAGGAGGGGGGAGAGAAGTAAGGGCTGGGTCATGGGCCCCATTTTTTTGTAGTGGAACCTTGTGATAGATTTTTCACTACTTTCCATACAACAGGAGTTCTGAAAATTCGCTAAAGTTGTTTTAGGGTAGATAATCAGAGGACCAGGGCACTGAGGCCATGCCCCACTTATCTTAATTTTTTTTTTTTTTTATTTGCATTTTTAATAAAGATAACTTTGAAAAAAAAAATTTTTTGGTTTATATTTGTTCCACTTGCTTTTTGACCATGTATTTGTATTTTTGACCATGTATCTGTATTTAATGGTCACTCTTAAAATGTTTTGAGAAAGTACATATGTTTATAAAATTTTTGATTTGCAAGTATATGGATTAAAAACAGTCATCCATATAAAATAATGTTTTTAACAGAATTTACATTGAATATTTTAAAACTTTTTGAATGGAAAAGAAAACAGACAGAACAACATTGATCTGTCACATAACAACAATTAATGAACACAAATTGATGTTACTAGAGGCAATAAACAAATTAACAGCTCATCCTTACATTGCAAAATGTGAAGCAAGATACCTAAGGAAACAAATGAAAAAGAAGACTGCTATATTGTCTTAGGTGATTTTGCAGAAAACTACACATTTGTGATTCAAGATGAAATTTAAAGTTACCATTGGTTATTAAGTCAATTCCAAACAAAATTGATCAGCTAAAAGAAAAAATGTTTTGCTTCATGTCAGAAGATAATTAGCATGAATTGGTTTTATGTATGAAGTTCAGACACAAACAGTTAATTATTTAAAAGATTTTTTATTTTTCAGATGGTTGTGATGCACAATACAAAAACCACAAAAACCTTTACAATATCTGTTTCCATAAAGATGATTTTGACATTGATGCACATTTTTTGCTACAATTCATGGTAAGTCATCATGTGATGGTATTGGTGGCACTGTAAAATAATGCAAATGCAAATTAAAGTAATTTTTTTAAGATTGAAAAAGAAAGACTGACAGAGCTCCAGTCTGGAAGGTATTGATAAATCAATTGCAATATTCCGCTACAAAAAAGTGGGGACCATGCCCTGTTATCCAAATTATTTGGAAATTTAAATACTTGTAGTAAAATTAAAGTTTTTATTCATTTTTCAAGATGAACTTTGAAAGATGAATATAGAATAATGTTTAATATATATTTTTTTATATTACTAAGGCCACATAGGTTTCATAGGGATTAAAAACAGGTATATCAAAAATTGCCTAAATTTATTTAACATAATAATTTCAGGTACATAATAATAACATTTTACACTTCTGATCATTTCATTAGATTTGTCACCCCCAAAAATAACCAGTTGCAAATTTTAAGTATAAAAATCTAATATTTTTAAAGACTTAAAACCTATAAATAAAAGTTGCAATTCTGAGGGGTTAAGTTTCTGCTAAAAGTAAAACATTCATTTTCAAGTGGGGTTAAGTTTCTGCTAAAAGTAAAACATTCATTTTCAGGATCTTCTTGGACCCAGAGGCTAAAATTTTCTAGGAATTCTTATTTTACTAAGCACTCTCAACTGTATAAAAATTAGCAAAATCTGAGTTGAATTGTGACATGACTAGGGTCAATTGACATGGAATTACCCTATATATATATCTGTATATATATAAATAATATATATCTGTATATATATACTGTATATATATATACAAATATTGTTGAACTTTTATCAAAAATACAGTTTTTAAGTAAATTAAAAGAAGAATTTTTAAATAAACGGGTTTAAAATGAAAAAAATCAATATAAATAAACCAAACACAAGAAAGATGAAGAGTCTAGAAAAAATCGCTACCAAAAAAGATAAACAGAATAATAATACTCAAAATATTATATATAAATGTAATGAATGTGAAGATATTATTGAAGAAAATCACAAATCTTTTAAATGCGAGGGAATGTGTACTAAGTATCATAAAGAATGTTCTCATTTTATAGAAAATGAGTTTAAATTTATATGTGAACTGATTCGTTCTGTAAACTTAAAATGGTTTTGTAATGAATGTAAAGATAATGATAATATGATAAATAAAAGCCCAAGGAAAATAAACAAATGAAGTCAATAGTAATAAAAAAAACAAATATTGTAGTGAAATGGATATTAGACAGATTTTCCCAGATAAGAAGTATGATACAATCCAGCTTGTAACTAAAATGTAAAAAATAAAAAACGAAAAAGTGGTCTTTATAAGATTAGGAAAAAATATAATAGAGACATAGTTATGCTATGTGAAAACCCTGAAATGATGAGGAAATTAGCTGAAGAAATAGGTGATAAAGTGCTTATACACAATCATGACCAAGATAATAAAAAGAAACTGATAAGATTAGAGATACCTGTTCAAATAATGAACTTAGATTTAAATCAGAATAATGAGCAACTTAAGAATGAAATTGTTGAAAAAAATGATATCTCATGTATGTGATTATAGCTTGAAAATTGTGAAAAGAAAATTCATCAGAAACAAAACTAGTGAATTGATTATCTTTGATGTAGATGAAAAAACAAAAAGTTATATTGAACAGAAAAGAAATTTCAAATTATCAGTGAATTGGCAAGTAGTGCAGATTCGTAATCATATAAATGTCATTATTTATTACAACTGTCAAGGCTATGGACAAACTTCCAAAAACTGCAAACATGATGAACCTACCTGTAAATATAGTGCAAGAAACCACAAATCTTATAATTGTGAGTATCAAGACAATTTAAAACTTTTAAAACGGAATTTAGAATAATTAACTTTTTACAAAAAGGAATTTCTAATATTCGAAAACAATAATTTGAATAAATTAATAAATTAAAAAATAAAAAAAATAAATAAATAAATATTGTGCTACATTATTCTTAGATGCAAGAATAAATGATATAAAAATACTACAGAAGTTACAAAATAAAGCTATGAGAACAACCTTGAAATGTGACTGGTTCACACATAGTAAAGACATGTTGGTTAGATTAGACTGGCTATCTGTAAAAGAAAATATTCAAGTGGAAGTAGTGACTTTTATATGCAATACAATTCAACTACATAAAACGGATGCCTTCCAAGAATTTTGTATAAAAAACATTGAAATATTCAATTATTGCACAAGAAATGCAGCAAGTTATCACTTAAAAGTTTAAAACAAGAAAGGTGAACTAAAGTTAATCCTTTGTAACGGTATAAAATTATACAATAAATTATCAAATGAATTGAATTTGCTTGACAAGAAGGGATTCAAGAATTTTGTGAAACGCATAAAAGAAAAATGATGTTTATAAATAGTAATTTTGCAGAATTTGAACTCTCTTTATTGTGACTTTTATTGTGATTTTAAATAGCATTTAAACGAACTAAATATATTAAATAAGATTTTTAATTAATTTGTTCAGAATTTATAAAGAAAAGTTTGTATTACTGTTTTTATTTTAATTATTCTGTTTAAAATTTCAATTACAAAATTTTTTCACATAATAATTTTAACTATTTTATTTAGAATTTTATTTATCGAAAATTAAAATAAATTTTAAGTTTTTTTTTTTTTCATTTTGACATGTTTATTTAGAATATAAATACCAAGTTCATACTGCTGTTTTGCTTTTATTATTTCATTTAAAATTTATTTATTTTATTTAAAATTTATTAAATTAAAATTTATTATTTCATTTAAAATTTAAATGAAATAATTTAAAAGCGTTTGCTTCATTATTTTTAATTTATAATGCAATTGCATTACTGCTGCCATATTAGTAGCACATTATTTTTGTGAAAAATGAGCATCTGGTTTCAAAAGTCAACTACAACAAAATAAAAAATCATTAACCATAAATATTGCATATGTAAACATTTTACATAAGTTATTTATAAGATTTCATAGATTTTTGTGAAACAGAAATCTCTATTCGAATTGTTAGTAATCAGAAATTTTATGAAATATAAAAAACAAAAACTTTTTTTAAAATAACAAATCCTGTTCAAAAACTTTACAAATATTTTTACTGTTTTGTAGAATCAGGATTTGTTGTGTTTTCATTTTAATATTTTACATAAACATGGCAAATTTAACTGCTGAAATAAAAAAATTCACGTGATGTAATTTATGGACTCCCCCTCCTCCCTCTTGTAATTCATCATAACATTTTATTGACCCCTCCCCCCAATATTATGCCACAATTGGGTACCCCCCCCACCCCCGAAACAAAAAAAATTTTTAAACGATTTTAAATATA